TTACTCTCGTCGTCTGTCGGTCTCTTTCCTCCTTTGTTGTCAGGGCAAGTGAAGGCCGCAGCTATTGAAGTTTTCCTTTCACGTGATAATCGTGTTGTCTGTGGGCTGCACTATTAAAGACTACTAAGCCTCTGGATATTTGGTTTGTAGAGTTCTTTCCCAACCAGGCACGTAGCAGACAGTTGGGCTCTTCTTTTCAAGGATCTGCTGATTTATCAATGGAAAATTATTTTGGGCTTTTGATGGGGACAATGTAATGTCTGCTTCTGTAGCTGACGTGGACTCACGAACAGTCCTAATAAATCACAAACACTTAAGCCTTACATTAGATCAGGTTTAGCATTCAAAAGCAAAGTAACCATGGCGACAAGTGAACAACCGAAGTCATCAAATGGTAAGCGGGGGAAGAAATGATCTGGATTCTTGTTGGCATCAAGTGCTACTTAAAAGCGGCTGCTTGTCAAAATGCCATTGTAACGCACATCACACAATGGTACAGCAACTGTTTGAGTGTAAACCAGTGAAACTTCCCTGAGCTCCCTGCACGATGAAGGGCAATTGCCAATAGGGCGGCTATTGTGCTGTTGTTGTTATGCATTAAATAAAGTCAAGCTGTCCCTTCGCTCTTGCCAAGCTCATTGTCGTAGTTGTTTTTGTAGGAGCAGCCATTCCTCGTGTAGTGAAGCTGCGGTGATACACTGAGCAGATTACCTCTGCCAGACTTGTTCATAAACAACAACCACATGCTGCAACATATAATAAAAAACACGATAATAACCACAGGCCTGATGAGAATTATGATGTGACTCAGTCCGGACGGTATGCATCCATGTTGTCATTCCTCTCTCTGTTAAATTATCCATCTCTTTCTAACTTTTTTGCCCACATTTATCCACCATGTCCTTATGTGCTACTTTCTACAGATATTAACAAGCTGTAATTGTAAATTAATGGTAAATTATTATTACTATTTAGCAGTGGTGGAAAGTAACTAAGTAGATTTACTACCTAAAGTACTTCTTCGACCATTGTTACTCTGAGGCAAAATATTGGGCTATTAATTTTCAATGAAGGCCTCAACTTTTATTTTCCTCTCTAGGAATGAGACATTTAGTGTCACTGATGCGAACATATGAAAGTTAATAAAAATATTTGCAGTTACACTTCAAATCTAGAAGTTCATTAAGAAAAAGGACTAGGAGTCCAAAGCACTGCTGTGTATGAGGTTGTATTTGTACACATTGGTGGTTTAAGCTGAATGCTAATATCATCATGCTAACATGCTGATGTTTAGCAGGTATGATGCTTACCGTGTTCAGCATCAAATTTACGCATGTTAGAATACTAACATTGGCTAATTAGCATTAAACATAAAATACGGCTAAAGCATTGTTTTAACAGGCATTTGGTCATAAACCAAACTAACTAATCTATCCAACAGTAACAGAAATATTTCAGCCTGGAAGTGATGAACCTACAGACCAAAGTCACCATAACATTTAGTTACTAAAATAGTAAAAAGATCAAATGTGCTGCATTTTAATCTTAGCCACTACAATTGTAATTTTATGAACCTCCAAGGGAGTAAATGAAAGTTTATCTGTGTCATTATTAGTTTTTAGTTAATTTCATCTAATTTCAGGACATTCAGATAAATATTTGACTTTAGGAGAGAAAATATGGCAATAAACATTTTTATGATCTGGTATTGAGAGGGAATAAAATTGATTGAATAAACTGCAAAGTGATGATCAGCCTGGATTCTGGATTTCTCTAAAACTGATCACTGGGAAAAAGTAGAATGTTGGCTGAATACTCAATGTCTGAACAAAAGAGTTCACAACATAATTTAATGCATCATTTTATGAAAAAGTGAATGTTGTAAGGAAACACCTGATTTTTCAGTTGTAAGCCCATAAACGCTGATTTGCTATAAATAAACAGCTGGAACTGTTTGGATGAACTGAGATGACTCCCAGGTCAAGATAATTCACATTTAACAATTCTAAAGCATCCAAGTCAGCTTTATTATACCTAACTAGTGATAATTAGTCCTACTAAATGCACATTACTGTGGTCTAACTCACTGGGATACAACACAGGCAAATATCAACAACAAACTAGGCTATATAGTTCAATCCCTATTAAATCTTTCCTCTGTTCCTCTGTGTTCATTACACATCATGTTGTTTCCTGTTACTAATAGACCAATTAATCCCATTTGTGGAAGCCCACAGGGACATGCTCCTTGCACAAAATCAAGCTCTGAATCGAGGTGATGAGAGAAAAGACACAGTGTGTGAGAACATATCGTTCCAAATTTCAGATGACATTATTCTTAATCACTGAGAGAAGGTCTCCCTAAACAAATCTGTCCAGTATGCACAACCGCTGAAACTGCATCCTGGTGTTTCTCAACAAACCTGGTGACAGCACTCGAAATGTTTCACAGCGATGTACGTACAGCTATGATGTGTTGTGTAATTCCTAAGGCTGGCAGTATCATCTATCAGTGAGCGCAGTATGAAAAAAAGTAGGAGGCGAGGTGAGGTAAGGTGAAAAGAACAGACAAAAAGAGGAGGAGGAGAGGAGAATTCAACCTTGCTAAGGCTGCTGGGTAATATCGCTGCAGCTTGGAGACACTTTATGTAAGCTGTTGGGTGTAATCTGGAAAACAGCAAAGGAAAGGAGGTCAGTGATGTATCTTCTTGCAGAGGAGGGACTGTGAAGCTACTCAGAGGGGAACCGGACTGCACAGGCACACACACAGGCTTAAATTCACAAGTCTCCAAAAAGAAATACACGGCCCAACAATACAGTGATTCATCACAATTAAGTCGATGTAAACCTATATGGAGTGTAACCCTAACACCCAATCTATCAGCGAGCTGCCTGTTGTCTCTGCTCTCCCACAGTTTAAATCCCTCAGCTGGATATTGGAATATCACTCCGACATACACCTACAGTAAATCATCATATACACACACTGCCTGATGTATAATTCATTCCTATTCAGTCCCCACTCAGTGATTTAAAACGATTGCTTTAGCAGCGCACTACAGGTCTTCACCCACACATATTCACAGCGAGTAAATCCACCAGACATATTTATCATAGGAAGCCTGATGTTGTGTGTGGGATGTCTGAGGAACTGGGAATTAGACATTACCAGACATAAAGTTAATTTTTTAAGAATAACTGTGTCTATTGCGAATACCATATGTTAAATAGGTTGCCCTACATGGAATACAATTGAATACTTTTATGTTTTTTCTGTTGCAGGTCAGTTTCAATCGATGCTGCAATAAGAATAACCTATATTTTAATAGTTATAAATAGGTATTTATGTTTTTTATGATTGTAGAGTAGAGAAAAATACATACATTTATATGTTAATGTTTTATGTCTTTAGTTGCACATGGTTCTTTTATGATACTACTGGATCATTTGACAGAAGCGTATCTGCAACAGGCCGTCACACTTTAGCTGAGAAGGTGAAGGCAAAAGCCTCATCAAAAGATCAAACTGCTTCCTGCAGAACCACCAGGGACGTGATCCACTGTCACCACAGGTCACAGAAGAGGTGACCCTGGACTCCAATAACCAGCAGCAGATGAGCCGGTGCAGGAAGACACTGCAGGAGCACAGGAAGTGGCTCGGGTAGGAACACGTTTGGAGAGAGTGTTCTTTTTGGCAAGAGGGGTTGTCTCTGGTTTGTTTTGGGGGGCCTCAGCAACAACCCTGCTGCTTTCCTGTTTTCTTTCCTGAAGTAGGTCTGAGGTTAACAGGGACAGATAAAACACGAGAAAAGAGACATTCACTCGGGAACTCCCTTTCATTTGTCAAACCACAAATGATTCACATGGAAGCTCATTCATCTCTAAGACTACTGAATGCCAGAACATTAGTTTGTCAATCAACAAGTGGTTGTTTTCCAAGGTCAGCGCAAGTTTTTATTGACTTAAACGTACAGTACATGAAAGTTTTTGAACAGTGTGAAAGATGGGGTGGACAAATCATAGAGACATGCACCACAAACTGTGGATGACAATGATGCTGGAAGCCAGTAGGTGGCAATCTTCTCAGCAATCCTCAGAAAGCACCTGTCTCCCTGTGAGTGAAGGGGCTACAGATTACAGGCTCTGCATAGATTCAGGAGGCGGTAATGACACTGTCATGGCACGTCTATCTGACAGTAAACAAACAGCATCCATGCAAACTCACACTGCAGAGTTATATCAAATGTAGCAACATGAACATGAAAACTATCTTATTTCATGGTAAACCCCTTTAGTGAGGATTATGTGCACAGAAATTATTGTGGTGCAGGGCATTGCTGAATGAGCTCTGGTTTGCTCAGATTCATGGCTGCCGACCGTCACAATAAGAGGCTGCAATGAGGCTTCAAATTACCCTTCCCACTGGGAAAGACATGCAAAGGCTAACTGAAAGGCCATCAGGCTCTTCTGGCATCAGTGGGACATTATTTTCATATTGCAGATTTTATCTGAGTCCCCGCCATTGTTGTTTGCCTTTGGTCTATCTCTTTCATTTCCCTCTCATTCACAAGACTGATCCAAAAGTATTATTACTGCACCAAGGAGGAAATTAATAAATCTCTGAGAAGGAAATTTGAGTTCCAGACAGTGCAGGTTCAATGTCATACATGCTTTTTTTTTTTTTTTTTTGCTTTTTTGCAAATGTGAAAAACTGAATCTGCCAGCCACAGAATGAAGAGAATTTACAGAGGACTTGTGCATATATGTATAATTGTGAAAAGAAGATGGCAGCTTAATCAAACACAACAATGAACTAGGCTATGTCTGTGAACTTTGCAACATAACCATTTCCACTGGTACATGCACGCTGGCCAACGTTCATCATGTCGACAAACTCCTGATCACAGTTGAGCAAGAGTCTGGGCAGAGCGAGCAGCGCTGCTGTCAGATGCTGAGAAAAGACTTCGGATTGGTCCGCCGCGGTGGGTGTTTCCGCATTCCGCAAAGAGCTGTCAGCAGACGTGTAAGTTGAAGAGGGGGGACTGTCGCGTCTGTGAAGAAACCTCCTCAGTCATACCCAGGGGAATAACGGTCCACCGCCAGGGCGACGGGATGCCTTACATACTCATCAGTACGCAGATCCGACTGGTGTGTATCCCGCATCTGTGAATGACTCGTGTCATGCTTGTAGGAGGAGGACACACGCTCGAGTTGGACATTCAGGGATTTATTTATTTGGCTGCGCAACGTTGCTCATACTACTAATCAATCAAGATCCCCCACTTGCAGATTACAGTTATGCAGTGGCCTGTGATATTCTGCATGGTGGAAACAACAGACAGTCAAAGGCTACAAGCGGAGCAAGCAGCGTGCGTATGGCTGTGTGTGTGTGTGTGTGTGTGTGTGTGTGTGTGTGTTTTTTTTCTTTGCCATGGTGCCCTAAATTAAAAACACATGTTGCCCAGTTGTCGGCCTCTTGTTGCGCATGTTCATTTTGTTGTCTGCACGACAAGAGCAACCTAATTCTATAGCCTCTGAGTACTGGATCATCTATTTTTAGTCCGTGCAGATATTAGATTATGATCCGCACCTGCCAATGATATGAAGCAAGAGCTGCACAAATAACAGGCAGCAGATATTGTTTTTAACAAAGCAATCATTTCCTAATATCTAGAATAAACTATCAGCTGTGTAGTTAATGTGTTTAATTGCTTGTCTTGCAGGAAAATGGTCCAACAAACGTGGGAGATGAATTCTCTGATCCAGCTGTCATGAATTACCTGGGAGCCAGGAAAACAACCATGCTGGGAAACAATTTGTGAGTATTGAAAATGGAGACAGGCAGTTATTGCAACGGGTGGAGATAAAGTAAAGGTGGCAGGTAACTAGTAGACTACTAGAGAGATTTATATGCATAATTCAGCTCAGGTCTTCTTCCACGAAAGCACCAAGAGTCAATTGTAGCTCATAAGATGAAGATTTTATAGCATGATTTGATCAGTTTTGGGAAAGCATTCCCGCCACCACCCCCCAACCAGGAAATTGTCAACAGTAATGACACATTTCCAACGTGGACCTTCACACACCCACACACACAAAATCGACTCCCAGGTGTACTGTAAATATCCTCACACAGAGCCCTATTTCCAAATTTAGGCACAAAGAAACACACTGGTGTTTCTTTCATTTTTGGCAGTCAACAGGTACATATTGACGATGGAGCGGAGATCAGGTCACATGGAGTCAGGGGAAAAACAAAAAAAACTCCAGTGTAGTTGAGGAAGACTGCTGCTTTGCAGATTTAGCATAAACCATTCAGAGCTGATAGAATGCAGATCAGGGAAGTGTTGTCATTGGCAATCTGAGTCAAATGCTGCTGGGAAATGAACCAAGGTGTGGGAGGAAGTGAACAAGCACCAGAACAATTAACAGCATTCTACTTTCCAAGCAAAGTTTACTGAAAGACAGAGAAATCCCACATCTGTGGAAAGTTGAATTACTTTGTGTTTATGCTCATTTAGTTCTGAGTACCATGTGGACGACCCACCACGCCTGGTGCTGGACAAGCTGGAGAAGATCGGCTTCCGCGTGCTGACAATGACAGGGGTGGGACAGACGCTGGTGTGGTGCCTCCACAAGGAGATGGAGTGATCAATCATGGAGTGAGGGTTGACTATCAAAATACCACTGTAAGCATTTGAAAGGATGAATGAATCATGCTGAATTGCTTATCAACTTTTTTGTTGTTTTTTACTTTGGTTCTCTGCTCTACATTTGACACACTGCCAGCTACATATTCAGGCTTCTGTCAAGTGAACATGAAGTTCTAAAATTGAGATTATCCCAGACATAAGGTTTCAGATTATCTTGAATGAGTGATACTTCAGGGGAATACCAACCTAGATTCCAGACATTTTATAGGACTCTTTGCCCATACTGTTTGCTATTTACTACTGGTGACCAATTTTAAGTTTGCGAGTGAGGGCCAGTTTTACAGTCAATGTCATTTGGCAGTAGAACTTAATTAAAGGCATGACTGTAAAGTCATCCTGTGCAAAAGGCCTCACCCAGTTCTCTCTTTTTCCTAAGTAAATAAAACACTGCTAGATATGTTTGTACTTACAGCACTGTGCAAAGATGTTTTTGTAAGTCTATCATATGCTTATGATTAAATGATGTAATGATATGGATTGTTTGTGTACTTATTAAAAAAAGAAAACAATTTCCAATCCTTTTAAGATTTACCACAGACAAAACTGAACACATGTATAAAGCCGTCTGATAATCCATCAAAACAGACACTTCACATGTAAAAAATATTTCACATGCTCTTCTTGTGAGCTGCTGTGTGGCACCTTACAGGGATGCTGCATGCCCCAAGATGATGCATGAGGCTCTAGCATTGCAGGCACACGGAGTGCAGGAGACTGCCTGCGAGAGCCAAAAAAGGCTGGGTGGTGGTTTCATTACAGCCGCAGGTCTGCCAGCACATGTCTGAGGCCAGCCTGGATCACTAACCCGCAAACCAGAAACTTTGCCAGCGAGCTCACAGCCAAACTCTTACCAGGTCTGCCGCCTCACACATGACTTAGCTTCCACATCCGCACTTAAGATCAAAAGGTGCGGGTGCTTCCCAATTCTGTGACCACGGAGATTCCAGATACTGTTTGCATACACTGACATGGCAACTTCGATACAGACAATCCACGGAAAGCAGGAGGAAGAGGATACTATTAAGATTCCAGGGTTCTGCTGTAGTTGCTGATAGGACAGTGCATCCAACAGACTCATCCTCCCATCCTGGTTCGCATGCAGCGCAAGCCACTGTGGGCTCAGGGCAGGGTTGGTGGTGAATGTGTTTCCTGTAATTGTATTTCCTCTGCTGTCATTTGGACAGAGTTTGTCTGTTTCTGGGCTTTTTTTCCCTTCATTGCCGGGATATGAAAAAGGCTGCGCATAAACCAATCCATGTGATGAGGGGATTTTGCAAGAGAGGAGCAGATGTCTCCCACCACACCACACCACACCACTCCACAGCTGGACATTGTGTAACAGAGCCACGGTGAGGCAGAGCAGCAGTGGCAGGGAGATGGATGGCTGGGTTGGATGTTGCAGAGCTGCCATGTAGTTCCTAAATAACACAATGACAAGAGAAAGAGCCGCCACGCAACCCAAAAAATACAGACATACCATTACACCATAGTCCTTTAAGGCACAGGAAAATAAGACTATTTGGATGAATAGATGTTCCACAGGCAGAGGACCCTGTTACAAAAACCAGGGTGACCACAACAGTCTGGCACTGTAAGGTCTGACTTAATGTGGGTCACAGAGCAGTAGCATGTCACTTCAGAGAGCATAAATAAGCATCAAACACTATCTTCTAGGTATCTGTTACATAAGCCTATTGTGAAACAGCTTAGACCAGCAATAGCTTAGAGAAACTTCAGAGAAAATCTGTTGAGGTAGGTATAATAAGACAGAACACAGACAGTTTTGAGGCAGGTGGCATGTTCTTCAATTAAAGCTGGTCAAGGGCCTGTGACATGATCTATCGGAGCCGAGGGCGGAGTGACGTGTGTAATGGAAACACTGAAATATGTAGGTTGCCCCAAATAAAGCCCATCCATTGCTGAAAAATCATAACTTTGCCCATTGCTGCAATATGATGCATGAAGGAAAAATTGATGTTCTGGTATTGCTTAGCGTAGTGTTATCACAAGGTATAAGTCATTCAGAAATCAAGAAATCAAAGCTTCTCAGTTGGTGATTAAAGCAATAGTTCCTTGACTTTGCATTAAAAAAAAGAAGCAATTTGCTTTCTTGCGGAGTTAGATGAGAAGATCGATACTACTTTCATGTCTGTCCATTCAATGTTAAGCTGGAGCCAGATGCGGTTGTACAGGGGGTTATGAGCCAGACTATTTTTTGGCTGGGAGCAGTGACTATCTGGAGTCTCTGTTGCTTGCCTGGCAAACGCATGGTGCCAACAAGACTCAAGAAAGTCATCTCCTCCCCGCCAAGAAATAGTTCAGGACCCAATCTGCGGTCAAACCGCAACTTGTCACTTTTATAGTGTTTAATCAGATTCAACAAACTAGATAAAATGTGTTAATTAGTGAGCTTTAAATATACTGGTAGGTTGATCTTTCAGCATTGTTTTTCAAGCCAACCATCTCCTGGTTCCAGCTTCATATTGAATGGACCGACATGAAAGTGCTATCAGTCTTCTCATCTAAATCTCAGCAAAAAGGTGAAGAGGCATATTACTTTTTTTTTTTTTTTGCATTACATAAGATATAGTTGTAGTAAGTTACAAGCAACAGTATTTAGTTACCTATAAGAGCCTTTTCCCTGCCTGGAAATGGATGGTCTACATCAGAGGTTCCAACTTTTTTGACTTGTGAATCCTTAAATTAGAGTCACGTTTACTTCTGACCCCTTATCATACATTATGGTCTTAGTTTGGTCACTAGTTATGACCCCCAGATTGGCAACCCCTGATGTACATTATTTTGTGCATGTGTTGCATAGGGCAGTGTAGAGATTACATACAAATATTCAATCTACCACAAAAAAAAAAACAAAAAAAACATGCAGTCCACAGGCCTCTACAGTCTGGAGTAGAGCTTTAGATATATTGTATACAAAACCCAGGGAACAATCATCTAAACCACCAGATCTGCAATGGAGAGCCTCCAGAGTATGTTCACTTTTCATCACATGGGACCACAAGAATTCACATAAAAGCCTACCTAGTGTTCCAATCGCAGCTTGATTACTGGGTGAACATGGGAGAGAAAAGATCTCTGCGGTTTGGGTTGCTACAACTCTCGACTAATTTTTACAGAGTTTCTGAATGAATACTCAGACAACAGAAAAGAATGATTTTTACATTACACTCGGTTGGCTACAATAATGAGGTAATAAGTTGTCACAGCTAACTAGACAATGGTTGACAGATGCAAATTACATCATTACACTGCTTTGATTACATGTGGTGTTGCGCGGCCAATCTCCTCTGGCTCGTTTACAACACAGTGAACAAAGACTAAATACTCACTGGATGCTTTAAATCTCTAAAGGTCTTAAAATTACTTACCAACTACTTTATTACTGCCAAGCAATACTGCATTAGATGGCACAATAAAACCACATAATACAATATGTTGATGCATGGGTCACAATACACTACCTTTGAGATTCCTAAGGATTTGTGATATACTTAATATTGTAAGAAAATATGTGGCAATTTATCACATTTTCTGAGCACTAATTATATTCTTCCGAACTGTCAGAAAAACTGATAAGCTGCTGATAAAATATTATCTAATAAATTTAGATTAAATATCTGTTTGTCTCCTTTCAGACTTTATGGGACAAACTAGATAGTCAAGTAAACAGACTAAATCAAGCTTGTGAATGTAAATGTTGTCTAGAACAGACTGAAATTTTTATTTACAGGACAACGATGTCAACTAATTGCAGGTAAAATACAGTGTACTCTGTATTTTGAACTTGGCGTCCATGTATTGGTACAATACTGTGCAGCACTGATTAGACCCTGCAGCCTCAGTGATGGGACTCCTACCTCTGGGACGATAAGGCTCAACCCTGAATCCTGCAGGAGCCCTCACTTCTTCTCTACTCTGTATCTCCCTCAGTCATCCTACATTCTCAAGAAAAGGAAAAGCAGCACACTGATTAAAACTACAGATTTGAAAATAAGCATTTCTTTTCAGTTATTAAAAATATTTATTTTTCCACAGTGTACTACATACAAAAAATAACAAAAGACATTAAGAGGCTTTATGAAACTAAAGCCTGAAACAGGTATTCATTTAATAGTTGCAAGCTGGTACCAGGCTGGGTCCTGCTGTGCTATGACCTGCCAGCATCCTCCTCGTCCTCTCTTTGCATTTGTTCTATGAGTTTCTGTCGCTCAGCAGCCTGCCTCATCCTCATCATCACCACGCTCTCGTAGTCACGCTCATTTGTCAGGGAGCCCTGCAGAAGAAAGAGACTTGACTTTAATGTCAAACAAGGTAACTCAGAAGGGTTATAATAACATGGAAAATGTTGCAACAAAAACTGCATATGATTTGAAAGCACATGTAATCTTTAGCCCCAATCTATGTATTTTCTGATATAAAATTAGGCGGCTATAATATAAATATTTGAGCCCAAGATTTGTAAAATTTTCTAGAGATTAAACAAATGACATGATAATGTTGATTATAATAAACAAGACGAGTAGGATAATCTTCATCTACTTGCCTTACTTGTTTTACATCTCCTCAGAATAAAGCTGAAAGGATTAGTCAATTAACAGATAAACTGAGCTGCAAAAAATCTTTATCTATTTTGATAACTGATTAATCTTTGAGGTCATTTTTTAAGGAAAAATACTGAATAACTTTCAGCTTTCAGGTTTATTGTGAAGGGCATTTTTCATTTCATGGACCAAACGATCACTCAATGAATTCAGAAAAATATTCAACAGATTGATAGCGAAAGTAATCATTAGTGGCAGGTCTACTATCTATAATCCCCCAACAGAAAGTTGGATGACATCATCAGAGGTTATCTTTTCTCAGACTTGACAAAGGTCCTCCAGAGCCACAGAAAAGGTCTTATGTAAAAGTTAACCATTTTCATAGACTGAAGAACTCCCCACACGGAAACTGATGAATGAAAGCTGTGGAGTGGCCCTTAATCAGTATTCAAGGAAAATGTCTAATGAGCCATTACACAGGCAGGGAGTCATAGAAAAGTTCAACATGTCTGTATTTTATATCATAACAACGACACGGAGCGAATGACACCATTGTCACCATCCACTGTCTGTTTGTTTTCGCGACGGGGCCTGTGGGTACAGAGCGGAGGAGAGGCCGACCCGGACAGATGCTCTCATCTCAGTTACCATCAGCATGACGGCAGGGTGAACATGCATGAGACAGCAGCCTGCAGAGCAACTGTGACAGGGTAATTCCGCTGCCTGAGGTCATTAAACCCCAAAATGAGGGCTGGGATTAGGCCTGGCAGTCAACTGGCTTCTCACTGAGTGTGTGTGTGTGTGTGTGTGTGTGTGTGTGTGTGTGTGTGTGTGTGTGTGTGTGTGTGTGTATGTGGGATTTCTTTGAGGGGCTTGGGCTTGGATGAGGATGGCGAGAGATTCTCTTACTG